CAACAGACAGACGGACGGACATGGCTAAATCGACTACGCTATCTTTAAGTAACCAGAATATATACTTTATAGGGTCGGAAAATTATATTCTGGAAATTAGAAACGAAATGAAAAACTTATATATACTATTCTCAAAGAAACATATACACCCCCTACCCGGGGAATGTTTCTTGATGAATGACCAACAATTTCAATTCAGGGGTAAAAAGATGCTATCAATACTTCTAGTCTGATGGGACTTTAAACTGGTGATGATCAAATGTATCCTCGGCCTTTCCTTGGAATGATTTGACATGGGGTCGATCCATATAATCTGGTACTACGGGAGGTCAATGGCTCGCAGGACTTTGTACCGGCTGGTCAGTAGGTGGAGCTTCCTTCGGGATCCACTTAGTGGCTGAGGTTTAAACCAGAAAGTCTGTTGCCGAAGTCAGCAGATACCCCACAGAGGAGTGACCGTGGGACTAAGCGTTGGAACTTAGTTGGTGTTAAATGTATATGATACAGGATAAATGTAGGGGTATGCGGGTCTTTCCCGGCCCGTAGACCAAGAATGAGTGAGTGGGTTGTTATTCTCTATGGGTGTGTCGAATGAATGAGAAGTATGCTGCGTTGAATGGTAATGGATGAAAGGTATCTTATACAAGTGATTGAATTTTCATTCCTTGTCCAGTTATGTCCAGGGAAAATTCCGTTCATGCGAGATTTACCACAGTGTGTTCTCTGTGAGTAAGAACAAAGTTTTCGGTTTATTTGATGAATTCGTATTTCGGACTACCGCATACGTCTCTAGGTACTGTTGTGGATTCAAAAGAGGCCATCCCATCTGCATGGTTGTAAACGGAAGTGATGTTTTTGCATTTCACAAGTTAAGCAACGGGGCAGCAATGGTCAGAGATTAGATAGGTCAAGTACTTAAGCAAAGTGCTTGTACATGGACCGGCATTGCCACCCGCGTGTGCCGACTCATCAAGTCCCTTTGTACTTGATGAGTCGGCACAAAAGCTCAACCTGTGAGTGAAAAAGAATACCGTGAAATGACTAACACGTCCCTGATTGAATAACAATCTATAAGAGAGAGATATTTTGGTACTTTTTTGTTTTTTAAATAGTACTTTTTTAATTCTCTTTAGAACTGAATCTAGATATGAAAAATTTAACATGACTGAATAAGAATCAACAAGTTGTGAATGACTGTTAGGTACTTTTTCGTTTTTCAAATGGTACTTTTTAAATGTTCTATAATATCAAGCCAAAACACATAAAATTGAACATAAAAGTTCCCTTAAATGGTACTTTTTACATTTTCTATGATATTGAATTTAGAAACATATCTTTTAGAATGCAGGGTCCTGACTGATTAAGTATATAAACTCTTCTCGGACACACTTCGGTACTTTTTTCTATAGTGTTTAACTAAAAGACATGAAACACCGTCCTTAATAAATGATAATTTCTAAGAGGGAAGTTTTTTGTTCTTCACAGTGGTACTTTTTGAATTTTCTATAATTATTGATCTAGAAATATAAAATTTAACATGTAGGGACCTGAGTGATCAGTCCATAATCAGGACATAAAAATTAACTTTTTCTTTTTTTTTCCAAAAATTAATTCTTAAGTTTTCTATAATATTGACACAAACATATAATTTTGATTGAGCGAGAATCGCAAAAAATGTACTTTATGGTACTTTGTGGTACTTTATAATTCTTCAAATAGTACTTTCGCAATTTCATATTAGTTATGTGAAACAAAATACATGAAATTTAAAATGCTCTAGAATATGTTCCAAAACAAACATTTTTAATTTTTTGTAACCTTAAAAATAGTACTTTTTGTACTTTTTAAACTAAAATGTTACAATTCTTTTAAATTTCTGTCATTTGCCTTACATACGCCTTAATATAACATCCTAAGTATTTTGTACAAAAACTTTTGTATTGGTTTTGGCTACAAAACGAAATATTTAAAATGACATTTGACCTTTCATCAATAAATTTTTTGTACAAAATAATAATAATAGAAAACCATTAAAGCTTGTTAAACACAAGAGTACAAATGGATTTTGACTTTTCAAGTAGATTTGCTTGTATTAAGTCATGTAAGTTTTTTTTCCAAGAATTTTTTAATGAGAATACAATTTTTGACATTAATTGTGTAAATGATTTTTGAAGAGTGAAATTAATTTGACAGTGAAATAAAATCATAATTATTTGGAAAAAATATTTAATAAAAACATTGACAAAATGGTGAAAATAGTATGTAAAAGATCAACAGATCAAACAATGAAATTTTTGTAAAATGTTCGTTAAATGTTAATATTATATATTTCCAATTCGTTAGATAATTCGATTCCCATTTTAGATTTCTTAATTTTTCCCACTGGTTCCTCTAATTCACAATATGTCTGATAAAAACTCATTTGAAATAAAACACACCGAACTGCCAGGCACTCTCAAAACCATAGCCACGAAACACCCACATTTAACCAAATATACATATACATACATATGTCAACTATACTATCTTGCAACCATTTCCATTTTGTTGCATTTTAACCTTTGACATTTTCATGTTTTAACATCGAATGAAATAAAATAAAATGAAATATGTTCTGTTTGTTGGGGGATTCTGCTGTTGTTTTTCATACATATGTTCAGCAACGATATGACTAGAAGAATACCATCAGGAAAACTTATTGTGGCAACTTTATAACATTTTGCAACAATTGCTAGACGGACCAAGTAATAGAGTAGAGTAAAATATATACAACTACAAAGTATAAATAAAATAAAACAAAATTAAATTAACAAGAAAATGTTAAAGGTATATTTTTATAATTTATACTCCTTTGCACTTACTAGATGCATTTTAATGTTACAACGTAAATTTAAAGTGTATAAAAATTAAATAGAGATAGTAGGAAAATATAAAGACCTGAGAGAACTGTTTATAGCTAAGCATATAGCTGTTTATGGCTAAACATATAGCATATAGTCCAGTCTATAGAACAGTCTATAGTCCAGACTATAGAACAGTCTATAGTCCAGACTATAGAACAGTCTAAAGTCCAGACAAAAGAACAGTCTATAGTCCAAACTATAGAACAGTCTATATCCCAGACTATAGAACAGTCTATAGTCCAGACTATAGAACAATCTATAGTCCAGACTATAAAACAGTCTATAGTCCAGACTATAGAACAGTCTATAGTCCAGACTATAGAACAGTCTATAGTCCAAACTATAGAACAGTCTATAGTCCAGACTATAGAACAGTCAATAGTCCAAACTATAGAACAGTCTACAGTACAGACTATAGAACAGTCTATAGTCCAGACTATAGAACAGTCTATAGTCCAGCCTAAGAACAGTCTATAGTCCAGACTATAGAACAGTCTATAGTCCAGACTATAGAACAGTCTATAGTCCAGACTATAGAACAGTCAATAGTCCAGACTATAGAACAGTCTATAGTCCAAACTATAGAACAGTCTATAGTCCAGACTATAGAACAATCTATAGTCCAAACTATAGAACAGTCTATAGTCCAGACTAAAGAACAGTCTATAGTCCAAACTATAGAAGAGTCTATAGTCCAGACTATAGAAGAGTCTATAGTCCAGACTATAGAAGAGTCTATAGTCCAGACTATAGAACAGTCTATAGTCCAGACTATAGAACAGTCTATAGTCCAGACTATAGAACAGTCTACAGGCCAGACTATAGAACAGTCTATAGTCCAGAATATAGAACAGTCTATAGTCCAGACTATAAAAAAGTCTATAGTCCAGACTATAGAACAATCTATAGTCCAGACTATAGAACAGTCTATAGTCCAGACTATAGAACAGTCTATAGTCCAGACTATAGAACAGTCTATAGTCCAGACTATAGAACAGTCTATAGTCCAGACTATAGAACAGTCTATAGAACAGTCTATAGTCCAGGACTATAGAACAGTCTATAGTCCAAACTATAAAACAGTCTATAGTCCAGACTATAGAACAGTCTATAGTCCAGACTATAGAACAGTCTATAGTCAAGACTATAGAAGAGTCTATAGTCCAGACTATAGAACAGTCTATAGTCCAGACTATAGAACAGTCTATAGTCCAGACTATAGAAGAGTCTATAGTCCAGACTATAGAACAGTCTATAGTCCAGACTATAGAACAGTCTACAGTCCAGACTATAGAACAGTCTACAGTCCAGACTATAGAACAGTCTATAGTCCAAACCATAGAACAGTCTATAGTCCAGACTATAGAACAGTCTATAGTCCAGACTATAAAACAGACTATAGAACAGTCTATAGTCCAGACTATAGAACAGTCTATAGTCCAGACTATAGAACAGTCTATAGTCCAGACTTTAGAACAATCTATAGTCCAGACTATAGAACAGTCTATAGGCCAGACTATAGAACAGTCTATAGTCCAGAATATAGAACAGTCTATAGTCCAGACTATAAAATAGTCTACAGTCCAGACTATAGAACAATCTATAGTCCAGACTATAGAACAATCTATAGTCCAGACTATAGAACAATCTATAGTCCAGACTATAGAACAATCTATAGTCCAGACTATAGAACAGTCTATAGTCCAGACTATAGAACAGTCTATAGTCCAGACTATAGAACAGTCTATAGTCCAGACTATAGAACAGTCTATAGTCCAGACTATAGAACAGTCTATAGTCTCGACTCAAGAGCAGTTTATAGTCCAGACTAGTCTATCAAAATAATATATAATAGTAACAAATATTTTCGTTGCAGAACTAAATTAGATAATTTTTAAAAATAACATAAATTCCTTCAAACTAAAAACTATTTATAATAAATCATTTAACTGATAGAAAATAGATACAACCAAATTGAAAAATTTTGCACAACAAAATTTATTATACTGATAATGAACAACGTTCCAGACAAATAAGTCTTATAAATACAGCTGTTAGAAAATATTAGAAATCAGATCTCTTGGTCTAATTCTTAAAACTCAAACTATTAATAAAAATTTAAAATTTGAAAAACACTATCCTTAAAATGGTAACCGTACAAATCCTATGGATTATATTAACTCTTCATATTCTAACATCAAAAAGTAAAATTGTTCCAACACCTCGAATAGCTGGAGGCGATGCCATAAATATAACCGAAGCCAAATTTATGGTACAGGTAGTTACGGAAACGCGTTGTGGTGGTAGCCTCGTAACACCACTACATGTTATAACAGCGGCCCATTGTGTAGAAGGTATACAACACTCGGCTGTAACAGTAATTGGTGGAGCAACATATTTAAATAAAGATGGAATTCGTAGAAATATTGATACCATTTACTTGCCCAAAGAATATGATAATATAGATTCATCAGCAGACATTGCTGTCTTAAGATTAAGCTCTCCCTTAACTGGTCCTAATGTAGCAACAATTGAGTTATGCAACTCCCAATGGGAAGGAGGTGACTTCTTAAAGGTATACGGATGGGGTGCAATTTTTGAGAAAGAAATTCCTGGCTATATTAAAAATGAAATACTACTTATTCAACATATCCCTGTACCAACACAACTACATGTGGTTGAGGTTCCGGCTTTGACAGCGGATATATGTGAAAAACTTTTTAGGAATGTTTCACCAAATGTTTACTTTTGTGCTGGTATCCCTGGTAAAAAGGATTCGTGTGGTGGTGACTCTGGTGGTCCAGCCGTATACAATAATCAGTTGTGTGGTGTAGTATCACAAGGACCACCTTGTCCACAAATCGGTTTGTATGTTAATATAAATCATGTTAGAGATTTTCTTGAGAAAGTTATACAATTAGATGGAGAGTGAAATTGTTTTTGATGAATTGATTTTTTTTAATACAAACAAAAATGTAAAATTTTCCGTACAAAGAAATCTCTCTACTGTGTTAGAGAAATTTTTAGAATAAAATAATATTTAAAAGCAGAAATTTAATCAATTTTATTATTTCTATACTGGCTATGCTTGTCACTAGAACAGTCTATAGTCCAGACTATAGAACAGTCTATAGTCCAGACTATAGAACAGTCTATAGTCCAGACTATAGAACAATCTATAGTCCAGACTATAGAACAATCTATAGTCCAGACTATAGAACAATCTATAGTCCAGACTATAGAACAATCTATAGTCCAGACTATAGAACAATCTATAGTCCAGACTATAGAACAATCTATAGTCCAGACTATAGAACAATCTATAGTCCAGACTATAGAACAATCTATAGTCCAGACTATAGAACAATCTATAGTCCAGACTATAGAACAGTCTATAGTCCAGACTATAGAACAGTCTATAGTGCGGACTGTAGAACAGTCTATAGTGCGGACTGTAGAACAATCTATTGTGGGGACTGTAGAACAATCTATTGTGGGGACTGTAGAACAATCTATAGTGGGGACTGTAGAACAATCTATAGTGGGTACTGTAGAACAATCTATAGTGGGGACTGTAAGGTAGGAGTTGTTGTAGAAGTTGGGACGACATCCTAGGAGGAACTGGAAGTAGTTTAAGCAAGTAAGAATGTATTCTCGGGCTTGACCGACCAGATGATACTCTATACCAGTTCTGAATATTAAATGTGATTTATTTTTCATAATAAAGCATTTTTTTGCAATATAACCTTCTTTCAGATACATTTATGGAAACAAGTTGTTAATCTCCCTTTTTCGGGAGTTTCTGTTGTATGGGGGCTAGATGAAGTAATGGGCCTATTTTCAATAGACTTCGTCCCTGGGCCAAGAAAAGCGCACAAGATTTACATGGGCAGCCAGCCAGATGGATGGAGGGACGGATCCAGAAAATTATTCTAAGCCGATTGGTATAATTTAAGGTGGGTATAGGACAAACATCAGTACAAACCCAATATTCCCTACCCACTAAAGTGTTGCAAGGTATAACTGGTGATTGTTTAAGAATTCTATTGTCATGTCTTAAAACGACTTTACATACATTTGAAGTTTTATATATGACAATTAACTTCAGTTTCCTATTTCACTTCGCTTGGTGTTAAGCCTCCATATAAAGTTATTTCTCTATTACATTTGAACTTTTAAAATTGTTTATTCTATTTAATATGCAATGATTTTTAACGCTTTCAGTGCATTTCTACAAAAAAGAAAAAAACTAACAAAAATCTATTCACACAAATAATTTTACAAAATGTCAGTGGCAGGTGCCAACAGTATAAACAATTTGAAGAAAGAATATGCATCTAGGAAATATACAATAAAATGGTGGTAATAATACACTGTAATGTGGCATGTTCAATTTTGCATTTGTAAGTAATAGCTAAAAATATTGATATTTCATTTTATACATATGTATGTATGTACGTATACATTTAGGTATTGTAAAGCAATGACAAGTCAATTAGTTACTTTATACATTGCCAGTATCTAAGTAATCTATAGGGAATCACTTGACATTTTCAAACTACATTTTCTTTATTTGAAAGGTATTTTTTAATTCGTCTTAGCCGGACCAGACTATTTTAAACTTTTTCTTTTATAAAATATGTTGAAGTTCACTTAATTTATTGCAAAGATTTTTTTGTTTTACATTTCATTTCTTTCTACCTATGTATATAATAACTATTATATATTTTCGGAGGGGTGTTATTAGAAGTGCAGTAAATAAGTTGGGTTTTTGTTCTAAAATTCTATGCGGCAAATAGTAAGAGGTGCACACAAACAAACATGTAGAAATAAAATGAGGTTTTTAAGTTTTTCTTATTCTGTTGCAAAATACTTACTTGTAATTTATAGATGTATTATTTTTAGACAGAAAGCGAAGAAAAAGTTTCACATATGTGGCTCAGAAAAGTGATAAAAAAATATGCAAGCTGCCTTTTGTAAAACGGGAAAAGATAAGAAACAGATGTTTACTTTTTCTCTTCTTCAAGGACTATTTTCGGTGGCATAAAATCAGAACAGTGGTTCAAAGTTGGCTGAAATAAAAGAAGATTTCATATTTAGTTGTTTTAGTTAGAAAAAATTCGTCAATATTGTATTGAAATTCTTAAGCTTATTCGATAAAGATCATAGACTATTTTCAGGGGCACAAGTTTGATCAATATTTCATCACATTATCTCCTTCAAGTTTAATACATGTATAAGGTACACTTCTCTCAGTAAACCATACCATAAAATCTTGATCTATAGTCAAAACTAGAGATCAATACTTAGTCATGAATATAAACAAGTCTATAGTCAAGACTATTGAGTAGTTAATAAACAAGACTATAGAGTAAACTAGAGTTAAGAGTATAGATCACTTCGTAGTGAAGAATAAATATAATTACGTAGTTAAGACATACATACATACATATGTACATTAGATCAGTCAACAGATCACTTTGCAGTCAAAAATACAGATTAGTCTGCAGGCAAGGCTAGAACAATCCATAATGATGATTGCAGTTTCAGTTTTTATACATAAAACTGTAGATCAGTCAACTGATCTGTCTGTAGATAAGACAGTAAAGTTTTCTATAATCAAAAGCTTTCTATATTCAATGGTCAACACTATAGATGCATCTACTGATCAGTCTGTAGTCAAGAAACTAGTTAACTCTATATTTAAAATATAAATCTGTCCATAGTAAAGAATTTCATTCAGTCTCTAGTGAAGTCTATAGATCAGTTTACAGTCAAAACAAAGATTATTCCATAGTCAAGATTATTGATCAGTCTTTTGTCAAGAATATAGTTAATACTCAAGACTATAGATCAGAGAATATAGTTTAGACTGTAGATCACTCATTGTTCAAGATTACAGAAACTAGATTGATATATAGTCAAGACTTTAGATCAGTCCGTAGTGAAGACTGGAATTCAGTCATTACGATAGATCCGTCTACTGATCTATAGATCAGTTTGCTGTCAAAAGAAAGATTATTCTATAGTCAAGACTTATTGGTCAGTCTGTTGTGAAGAAGATAGTTCAGACTATAGATCAGTCAGTAGTCAGTAGTCAAGAAAATATTCAAAACAAAGATTTTTCTATAGTCAAGACTTATAGATCAGTCTGTGTATAATATAGTTCAGGCTATAGATCAGTCTAAAGTAAATAGATCAGTCTACTGATCTCAAAACATAGATTGGTCTATAATTCAGTATACAGTCAAGACTTGAGACTATTCAGATCAGTCTTGACTATAAACTTTAGTTCTTTCTGAAGTTAATACAATTGAACAGTTTGCAGTCCTCACTCTATAGATTATTTAATAGATGAGTATGATAATGACTATAGACCAGACAACAGATTATCCTATAGTTTAGATTATAATAAGGATTCGTCTGTAGGGAAGAATGTTGTCAAGTCTACTGATCAGTCTACAGATTCATAAAGACTATAGATGAGACAACAAATCATCCAATAGTTTAGATTATATATATAGATAATTTAATAGATCAGTCTATGATAATGACTATAGATTAGTCCGAAGGAAAGAATATTGTCAAGTCTACTGATCAGTCTACAGGTTCATCTGCAGCCTAAACATAAATCTGTTTACAGTCAAGTCTATTGAACAGTCTGTCTGAGGTTAATACTATTGATCAAAACTAAGGTTTTCCTATAGTCAAGACTTATAGATCAGTCTGTTGTGATAGTTCAGGCTATAGATCGGTCTAAAGTAAATAGATCAGTCTACTGATTAGACTCCCAAAACATAGACTGGTCTATAATAAAGACCATAAAGTATACAGTCAAGACTTGAGACTAGTTTACATATCAGTCTATAGTTAAGACTTTAGTTCTTTCTGAAGTTAATAATATAGACCAGTTGGTAGTCCTCACTCTGTAGATAATTTAATAGATTAGTCTATGATAATGACTATAGATCAGACAACAGATTATCCTATAGTTTAGATTATAATAAGGATTAGTCCGTAGGGAAGAATATTGTCAAATCTACTGATCAGTTTACAGATCCTTCTACAGACAAATCTTAAGATCAGTTTACAGTGAAGCCTATTGATCTAGTTATAACAATTAAACAGTTTGTGTAGATTGGAGTTCTGCCTATAGTTCAGGCTATAGATCAGTCTAAAGTAAATAGATCAGTCTATTGATCAGTCTCTCAAAACATAGACTAGTCTATAATAAAGACCATAGAGTATACTGTCAAGACTTGAGACCAGTTTACAAATCAGTCTGTAGTCAAGACTTAAGTCTTTCTGAAGTTAATACTAATGATCAGTTTGTAGTCTTACTCTATTGATAATTTAATATAGCAGTCTATGATAATGACTATAGATCAGACAACAGATTATCCTATAGTTTAGATTATAACAAGGATTGGCACGTAGGGAAGAATATTGTCAAGTACTGTACTGATCAGTCTACAGATTTATCTACAGCCTAAGCTTAAGATCAGTTTACAGTCAAGTCTAGATCTAGTTATAACTATTGGACAGTCTGTGTAGATTGCAGTTCTGTCTAAGGTTAATACTATTAATCAGTTTGTAGTGCTCATCTAATTAAGATTATAGATCGGTTTGTAGTCAAAACAATAGTTTGGATTATAATATGGATTAGTCCGTAGTGAAAAGTAATGTTCTATATCATGTCAAATCTAAAGATCAGTCTAAAGGTCCGTCTATTGATGAATGTAAAGAAAAGAACTAAGAACTAGTCGTTCAGAAACTCTGAAGACTATTTTGCACATCCTACCTATAGATCTGCATATAATAGCCATATCTGCTTGCAGCGCAGCGAGGCTTAACTCATATGGAAGTTGGAGATCAAGAACATATGGATACGCTAAGATTTTAAGCCTATTACGTACAATATTGAACCTACCATCAGACTATATTACCCCACACAAGAACTTTAATAGAGTTTTCAAAGTCAGAGT